CTAAAAATTAATTGATCCAATGATGTTAAAAAAAATACATATGAGTTATGTGAATTAATAACTATAAGTACAAACGAAGAGTTATTTATGTATGGTAAAAATTGTAAGGGTCTTTTTTTATTTTTTTTGCCAGTTCATCAATATTTTTTTCGGTTGTTATTAAATAGTTTTTATTTGTTGATAACATCTCTAATCTTTAACCTTTTTTTCGATAGGGGGGGGTCAAGTCCCGGGAAACTCCTCGAAAATACGCCACTGTCTTTATGCACCCATATATTCCTCCGTACGGCTGTCGTAACGTCAAGCTACAACTATTGGCTTTGGCCATTACCGGTCCAATGTCGTCGACGTCGTTCGTGTGCTCGTCCTTTGTTAGTACGCGTTAGATTTTTTTTTTTTTAAACACCTTGTTTGTTGTGACGACGTTCGGTTTTGTTTTAATCTTTTTTTCTCTTCGCAAACCTTTTATGAAGCAATTTCCGTAACAAACCGAACGTGGCGAATAATACGTATCTCTGAGAGGGAGACAACGATATTGTTTACGCGCACAATAGTTGTACGTGTATACAGTATACTCGTAAGTACGTTTGTCAGTGAAAGAGCGTCAAGAGTCGAATGTATATATATATATATATATATATATATATATATATATGTAATGTTTAAAGAAAATAATTATACCTACAGCTGAAATGTCATAAACTATATCATATAGCTTAATTAACTCGGTGCATGGCAGAGAGAAGTTGTTTACAAAGTAGAAGACAGCGAGAAAAATACTATCATAAAATAATATTCGTTAAAATAATCTCTCTCCGTCCAATTTCTCTTAGACGCCAGTGAAATATTTCTCTCTCAAACTTTTTCATATACACCGTGATTACTTTATACTGCAATACTATGGAAAGTTTTAACGACTGCGAGCTCTTTTTATTTTTTCAAATTATTTATTTTTATTTTTAAAATATTTTATTCTCAATCATTAAAATATTTTTTAAAAATCGTCTATCATTTCAAAACGATAATAATAGTTTTATAAAGAACTATATGATACGATTATGATAGACTAAGAAAAATATTTCATCAACGTTAGAATGGTTAAAAGGGTACACTGGAGTGTATGTAAAGATATTTTCTTATTGCATTAATTCAAAATCAAATCATACTTATTAATATCTTACGTTGGATGTAACAATATAATAATTTATTATTGCTAACTATAATTAAATGTATCCACTAACGGAATATCCAATAATTTTTGCTCTCCTCGAAATCATACAAAAATCTACGTTTGAGGGTCTTAAAAGAAAATAATGAAACGTTCTTTGAGTATTTCAATGATGTCCAATGTCCGCTTTAAATTGTTTTAATGTAAATTTATAAATCGCCATTTATTACTGATGATGATACTTACTAATACTAACTAGTACTGCTATAACGTACTAAACTACAGCATGTGCAATTATTTTGTGTGGTTTAAAAATTGTATCGGTAAAATTACCGTTAAAAGTTCTCCGAAGAAACTTAAAGTCTTAAAAGGGAGAGTACATTTAAACGCTGTTATAAAAGTGTTTTTTTTTTTAAGTATTTTTCGGTAAAACTAAAACATCTATTAAATAAATTATTAATTGTGTGATAAAGTTATGCATTTTTTTAGTGAAGTATTTGTTTTTGTTACGAGTATAATTTTTGTGTTGGTGGTTAATATTTTGAAAACATTGTTATTGCTTACAAATTCTTTTGATGATACACGAAAATAAAACTTTTTAATTGTTGTATTTAGGTCTTAACATTGTTAACAAAAAGTCAAAACTACATAATAATCATCCGAGTGTTAAACAAATATGGTTGATTTTGCATGTTTTTAGCTTTTTTATATTTTGCTAATAGTATTATATAATAAAAATAATGTGACTATTCTTATAAATTAATAATATTATAAAAACAATTGAACATCAAATAATTATTTTGAATACGAGTCATTTAATATTTTAATTTATACAATGACATAATTTTTAAACAAAATCAATTTGTATACTAAACAAATTTATATTTTTTCAATAGAAATTAAAGTTATTTAATACAACTTAAAATCCGTCTATTTTAAATAATAATTATTTCTTTGAGTTAGCAATTTCTTAAATTGTAAATAATTGTATTTACATTTATAAAATTAAAAATTAAAATTCGATTTTATATTTAATTGTAGTTGCAAACTATTTTACAAATTTAATAAATACCTACATTTTATTTACTGAAATTATTTTATCCATTGATAACTGTAGTATTTCAGTATATTTTATGTACCATAGATAATCGTAATATTATATGTTATAAGTACTATTGATAATATAAAATGTTTAAAGATTTTAATAAAGATTTTCGGTTTCTGAGCAAATTAAATAGAGATTCTGATTTACAATTATTGAACGGTTCTGTTGTAACTTCTTAAAATATTAGAGCTTTTTTTGAGTGATTTCAAAATGTATGGTTTAATAAATTGAATGAACAAGGAAAATAATATAATCTGTAAAATAAATTGAAATATTAAATCGTTTTTTTGAGGATTATTCAATTATAATTATTCTACAAATAATTAGAAAACAAATTAGCAGAATTTCATATCCATTTCAAGTAGAATATATTCAATGATGTTATATGAAAGTTTAAAATAAACTAAAAATATACAATATTTTATACCATCGTATTTGACATTTTTCATAATAAATTTTTATTTTTTATTCTAAGTATTTGAAAATCTAAAAAATTTTTTATTTAATACATAAGCTAGTATTTAAGAAACTACTATATATTTTTGAAAATTGGTCGTTTAAAATTTGAGAATACCTCTAAGAAGTAATAAACCTTTCATATTTTAGCAGACATTGATTATAAGCACTTATAAATTGTCTTATATATTGTGTTTTGTATATTTATGTTATTCTATCAAATCAAACTTATCATAATTTTTGCAAGTTAATTAGGTAACATCGGGAAAATTATAATTTCAGAAAATAAGTCATTTTTATTCTAAATTCATATAAATTATTAAATATTACTTTTTATAAAATCAGAAAACTATCGTTATTTATTTTTTTATTTGTATAGCAAAGTTATACGAATGGTCTAATATATAGCAATAATATAAATTCTCCTTTTCATTGTTACGCTTCAATTACCAGCAACAAAGATTAAATTAAGATCCTCGGAATGATTACTTTTATACGATTTAGGTAGCTCTTGGCTATGTGTCATATTCGCTGTTTCTTCTGATAGAATTTATTGGCTACATCCGCAATTCTCGTACACAATAGTATTATATGTACGTGCAATACTAAGAAACAAACATTATTTTTACCGGCGATATAATACTACACGGACGTTATTTGAGTATGTTGTGCAACGGCAATACATTTAAAAATCAATTTAGTTGATCATATTTTTTTAATAATTGGCAATCGTGTTTTTTATATTTTGCTAAATTTATTTTTATAAATCAAATTAAAAAACTTAATACAATGATTAATTATATGCAAATATGCAGAAATTCCAAGAAAAATTATATTAACTACGATAACTAAAAAAATCATTATTAGTTTTATTTTTTATACAAATTAAATCTATTACATAGGTTTATTATAAGTTATTAGATATGAATATAATTTATCATAGTGCAAAATTTTAAATCCTTACCTTAATGTAATATGGTTAAAATCAGTGCTTATTTTAGAAAAAAAAAAAATTAAATATAAGTAAAGAAGTTTTTTTTTCTAACATTTTTCTTTTAACTACTGATTACTAGACCAACGATTTCTAGTATTATTTTTCACTGCTGTATAAATTATTAGATTTTTTTTTTTTTTTTTGGAATCCAAAGTTTTATAACATAGTTTTGTGTTTCATAACTATAAATAATTATTAACAACATTTTAATTATAATTTATAAACATTCTGAAAATCTGATACCAAAATATATTTGGTTACAATTACAAAATTTCGTGGTCAATATTTAAAATGATATTAATAATATAATAAATTAAATAATCTTAAAATTGACAAATTTATTTTGTTATTTGCATGATGTCAAAAGAACATTAGTCAAAAAAAGATCGTTTGATAAATTACTTTGATTTTTAACCACCAACATTCCCATTTGTGCTGAATACATTTTACCATTTTATTCAAGGTCGTATCCATATCAACTTGTAAAGACAACAAGTCATACCACAATACCTGTATATTAATGCAGGTCGTTAACCCGAATTCGAAACTCTTCGAATCAAATACCTCTTCACTAATTGTATACATTTTTCCAGTTCAATTTGAGTTATTATTCACTAACAACTAGTATTATTCATATTTGCGTATCCATTAAGGATAAATCCAAAGGATAAATTACTAAGAATCAGACGTCCGTGGTACCAATTGTTAACTATAAACTATAAATTATTTAAATAAGATACACACAATGTTGACATGCATACATATAATATGCAAATACATATTGTAATGAAATACCCCATCCACAAATTTTATGTAATTTTTCCTCCAAAATATTTTATATATTATATCAATATTAAGTTTGCTGCACATAATATCAACAAATACAATATTTGAAAATTGTATAAATTTAAATAAAGATTTTGTAAAAAATATTAATATAAAAAATAAATAAATAAAATTATAAATACCTATTCTGTATCGAATAATCTAGGTAATTACATGATATTATAGACGATATTTTAGTGTAATAAAATAAAAAGTAAAAAAAAACATATTATCAAGAGTAATAGATACTTGATTACTCTAAAAAAGTTATCTAAAGTATATCTAAAGTTATCTCATTTATAACTTATATAGGACTTATTTATAATAGCCTAGTGACAAATCGTATGTAAGACAAATAGTTATGTGTATAATGTACGTGCCACGAATAATAAAAACCTGTAAATAAAAAAATTACCTTTACATTTTCTGAAATGAAATATTTTATTTTTCAGAAATTTTTTTACAAGTTGGCAACCAGGGATCTATGCCATAAACAAATGTAAGTACTTTCTAAGTAAATTTTTATACAAATAAATTTATACAATAAATAATTTAGTTCAATATATATATATATAACTCTCTTCAGTTAAAATATGTTAAATTATTTCTTAATTAGACCATTAAAACGTGATAACAACTTAAAATATGACTTATGATAAAATGTGTGTGATTATATATGTATAATATATATAAATTGTTTTATTTTAATATCTACCTATTTATAAATTTAATGGCATATTATTAAAAAGAAATATTGAAGTGACTTAAACATATCGTTAGAATATATATTGCTGCTTAATCCATATTTATATATATATATATATATATTCTATACTTACTAGTAAATTATTTCTTGGGTGATAAAATACACAGGAATAAGTATGATGTTAATATTTCAATTACTTTTATATTTTTAAAATCTTTGAACTTTCATAAAGATATAATTATAAATTATTTAACGTATATTAGTTATGTATTTGACAAATATATATAAGCTTCTATTTTGAAGTATTTTTAATTTTTATAATTTTGTGAATGATTACTAAAAGATTTTAACATATTAAAGATACTAATACTATAAATGTAAATAAAATAATTTTTTAAATTATTATCAATATAAAATATGAAATTGTTATGCCTTTAATAATAATGTTATTAAAATGTTGAATGTATGTATTAAAAGAAAGTTAATAAATATGGTAAAAAAATATTATTGAAACCGAAATTGGTTGGCAATTTATATATTATATATTTTTTATATTTCTTATTCCACAAGAAGTAATTTTTTGTAAATAAATAACTAAAATACATACACAAAATGGGTTTACTAACATTTAATGGAATTTAATCGAACTTAAAGTATTTACTCCTAAAGAATCATAATTGTTGGTAATATTTATTAGTACACTTCATAAAAATATGAATTGTATTGATAAAAATAATTCAATATTATTTTATGTATTTAAACTAGATTCATAGCATAACTTTTTTTTTTTTTAGCTTTTATAGCCCATTAAGGGCCTTTACTACTTCCACTATATCTTGCCACTTCTCTCTATTTTCATTTCCTGCTAGTTTTGTTTCTGGTGCAATCTTTACTAGATCTAATTTAACAGTGTCCAGGGTGGCCTCTGGGTCTTCTACCATTGATTCTGCCTATCAGAACTTGCTTGCATATGCCATTATCTCTAATAATAAGTGCCCAGCCCATTCGAGTCTCTTGTTTCTGATGAATGTATTTATGTTTGGTTTTTGGAATAGCTGATATATTTCCTCATTTGTTCTTATTCGATATTCTCCATTTTCGTAGATAGGATCATAGATTCGTATTTTCGTATTTTAGACGCGTATTTTTCTTTCGAAGATTAGCAGTTTTTCTTCGTTTCCTTTTGTCACTGACCACGTTTTGCAACCATACGCAAGGACTGGGCGTAGGCAACTCAAGTATAGGTTGATCTTTGATTTTTTATATATGAGTTTAGATTTAAATAATTTCACTAATGCAAAAAATCCTTTATTGGCTGCTGAGATTCTTAATTTTATTTCATTATGCATATTGTTGTTCTTATTTATATTAGTACTTGAGTATTTAAAATCGTTTACCGCTTGGAAAGTGTACTCCCCGACAATCAGATCAGCTACCATTTTATTATCTCATTCTATCTGCTGACAACCATATATTTTGTTTTGTCTTGGTTAATTTTTTTTATGTAAATTGTGATTCATTAATTTTTCAGGTGTATTAGGATTTGTTTTTAACTCGAGTATTGAAATAACTAACTAAGATTAATGAAATATAACATTTTTGCTTTGTATAGTTAAACCATCGTCACATGTTTTGCAACTCAATTCTGCACGTTATTTTATGTGATTAGCACTAAAAGTCATGCATTTATGAGCTTTTATTCTGAATTGGAAATTTTAAAACAGAAATGTATCCGTTAGGTACATACAGACCAAGCAAAATTTTGTCGACAACACTTTGTCGAACGTTAAAAAAAGATAATGAAGATAGCGACAGAGAAAATTTAAAAAAAAAATGGGATAAGCTATAGTGTCGGAATTACTTTTAAACGACAGCTGTTCGTTCAGTAGTTTTTTTAGGCTAACGGAATTTGATTTTGAAGAATTTCTGTATAAGGTAGCTCCTAAAATCTCAAAAGAAGTATCTGTGTTTTCCATTTAGAATGAACAACACTGATACAAGAAACAAGTAACAAATTTCTTTGATATCATGCCACCCTATATTGACGGGTATCTATCACCCGGGTATTAACTTGTTACTAGTAGATGGGATACATTTTGACCACACAATTGGCTACATGTTGCCAACAAAATGTTATTTGGTCTATACATATTTTTAGGGATACGTAATTTTTACGTATGGAAGTTTCTTTTGAACATTTATTCGGATTTCAAAATGCTGTGGTTTTTCTAATTACCTTATATAGATAATAATAATATAGTTTAATTCGATTTTTGATATCAATAAATTATAAACATCAAACATTGAGAATTAGTGGAATTTCAAATAGTTATCGGTTCACTTAACTGATTATTGATTCTTATTGTGCTCTAAACAAGATATATATTTGCGTATATTTCAATAAATAAAATAAATAAATAAACAGAGAAATATATTGGTATAGATTTATCATCTATATATATATATAAAAATGGAGCCAAAAATGTATAACAATTCATCAATTGAGAACGGCTGGGCCAATTGGGCTCAATTTTTTTTAATTGTTCGTAACTGCTAGGAGAAGATTTTTACGAAAATTTTTTTTGGAAAAACCCTTTTTTTTTAAAAAATTTTTGATGATTGATTTTTTGAGTTTTGGAATGTTTTTTCAAATTGAAAAAGCTACAGCAAGCTTTAGCTTATAAAATTGAATTGTTTATATCACATAATTAATTGTTAAAATGGGGCCCCCGACCAACACCAAAAAAATGGATCAACATGGAGAATGGGTCACAGTATTTCTTACCATATTCCTCCAAAACGGCCGATATTAATGAAATGTTGTGTATACATTTGGTAAGTCTGTGAATAGGTTTTTATTTATTTTTTATACTTTTAAATGCTATTGTTTAATAAATCATAGTTTAATTTAATAATTTTTGACCTGGTCGATAACTGCGCAATTGAAAATGAATTATTAAATGATACAATTAAAAAATTATTAAAATTTTTTTAAAAACTATTCATTTTATTTTTGATATTAAATGACGGGTATTGCATAAATATTAAACAACAAGATCCCACAACGGGTATCAAAACAAACAAGAATATTAGTTCGAAGGATTATTATGCATATCGGTTGATGATTAGATGCAATCAGGACAACGTTCTTTTACGATGTCGTGAGCTTTGTCAACAGTTTATGGTCGACATATATGTAAAGATAGAGAGTGAACGATTACGATACTTGCGATTTAATCATAAAAAGTTGCGTGCGGAAGGTTCTCAAAATAATTGTTAGATATCGGTGATAGGAAAGTTACTACAGATGAAACGGAATACATACAATTACCGACCGATTTCTGCTCAATCATTAATTCTTTCAATCAAGATGCTCTCATTAACCATATATTTCTCAATGTACACAGACAATATACAAATCATGAATGGCTGGAAGAAAGAGCAATTTTAGCAGCAAAAAATGTGGACGTCTACGAATTAAATCTCAAGATACAACATTTGTTATCAGGACACTTGGTGTCATACAAATCTATTGATACAGTTTACGATGCTACTGAAGCTGTAAATTATCTAACAGAATTTTTTAACTTATTGGATTTACCAGGCATGCCACCGAATAATTTACAACTGAAAGTTGGATCTCTGGTTATTTTGCTTCGTAATTTGAATCCACCACGTTTGTGCAACGGCACACGATTAGTCGTTAAAAAATGAATGAAAAATGTTATCGAAGCTATCATTTTAAATGGAAAATTCTGAGATGAAAATATATTATTACCGCGAATCCCTATTATATCCACAGATGTGTCAATACAATTTAAACGCCTTCAATTTCCAATTAGATTGACATTTGCAATAACTATCAATAAGTCTCAAAGCCAAACGATGTCTGTCTGTGGCTTAGATTTGAACACATCATGTTTTCACACGGACAATTATACGTGGCGTGCTCTCGAACCATTCAGGTTGTTTGTGTTGGCGAAACATAGGATAGTAAAAAATATTGTACACTCTGTTGCATTAAGGGATTGATATTGTTTTTTACTAATATTATTATAATTAGCGATTTATATAATTTTAATAGATCAATTTTAGTATGGTTAAAAATATTAGCAATTTATTAATTTGCACTTTTTTTTATTTATTTTTCTATTTTGTTATTTATTGTAGTTTATAATTCAATATTGAAGCAGGTAAACAATTTTAATGATAATTAAATTTGAGTTATTTTTTAGTTTCCAATTCTTTAATTTTTTATTTAATATATTCTTCTTTTTCGTTATTTTGATTCTTGAGCATTAACTTAGGAACACTTTATAAATATCACTTTTTATATATATTTTTTTTTAATATCTATATAATTAAAATTATTTGAGTGAAAAGAATTAAATGAATTATTTAATTTTGTTTGTAATGATTTGCAATTATTTGTAATGCGTAATGTCAATAATAAATATTCTGCTCATATTTCTGGTGGAAAATCTTTTATATATAACTTTACTTTACAGTTCGTGAATTCTTATACTTGAGCATCTTGTGGTTAATTGCTATAATAAATTCAGCAAAACAGTTTTTGACATCTTACGGAATTAAAAAAAAAGAAAGAATTTTCAAAAATTACTTATTTCTCCATTTTTTTTTCTTTTTTGCAATTTATAATTTGGATCTTTTTATGCGAACTTTATCCTTGGTGGAATCTGCACCTCTTTACTTGAATATAAGGCCAGATAGTCATTGCAGCAGCATGTGCAGCCTTTTCATATGCTCTCTTGAAATGAGTCATTATTATTTAG